TTCTCAACAGTGCCCTTGAGAAGCACCTCTGGCCATTCGGAAAGCAGCCGTATTCTCACCGCTGCCCACGGCCCAGTCAGCCACCCTGGGTTGATGCCCATCTCCGCACAGCAATCAAGTGGAAATATGATCTCTATAGCATTTTCAGGAAGTACCCAACACAACAAAACAAACAAGCATACCAACAGCAGCGAAATATAGTGAAAACCCTGACGCGGACAAAGTACAGAGCTTATATCCGCTCAATGAAAACTACTTTGCAGGGTAGACACCGTCCATCGCTTCACCAGTTTGTGAGACAAGCAAGAATTCGAAACGTATCACGGGAAATTCCGTCACTCACAACAGGGACTCAGCAGGCGGCTGACCCTTTGGCCAAAGCTACGGCATTAAACGCCCAGTTTGCCTCTGTGACTCGGCCAGATGACCCGTTGCTCTCTATTCCCCCTATTCTCACCCCCTCGGCGCCCTCAGCTTGTTTCACGTCCGTCATCACCACAACTGCCACTGTCCGGCGTCATCTGAAGAAGCTTCCGACGTGCAAGGCATCTGGTCCTGACGGCATCCCCAACCGGGTCCTCAAGGCCCTGGCACCATCCATAGCATTCCCTTTGTGCCATATTTTCAACATGTCATTTACCACGGGCATATTCCCTTCCGCATGGAAAACAGCGAAAGTCATACCTGTATTCAAGAAAGGTTCCCGCCACAACCTGCAAACTACCGCCCTATCTCTCTTCTTCCCTGCGTGTCCAAAGTATGTGAACGCATCTTTTATGACCACTTATACAGACATGTTTCGCCGTTTCTGAGTCCCGCACAATCTGGGTTTCGTAAAGGCGACTCCACCTCTCTTCAACTGACCCGCATCGTGCAGCAGGTGTGCCAGCATAGGGATAACAGAGCGCTTGCTGGCATTTGCTTCTTTGACTTGGCCAAGGCTTTTGATACCGTCTGGCATCGAGGACTTTTGGCAAAGCTCGAGCATGCATTCAGGGTACGCAAACAGCCACTCTCCTGGCTGAAATCTTATCTCTCTGGGCGTTATCAGTACGTAACTGTGCTTGGCACATCCTCGGCTGCAGAGCCAGTATTGTCGGGCGTTCCTCAAGGATCAATTCTTGGTCCCTACTATTTATAATTTACGTAAACGACTTACCTGCAGTCTTCCCTGGAACGTCTCTGTTTGCTGACGACACGACCCTTCTCACCTCATCAGCTTCCCTCACTGGCCTGAAAAACAACTTGCGTGCTGGCATTCAGGAAGTTCTTTCCTGGATGTCGTCCTGGAGGTTGTCCCCAAATCTATCAAAAACAAAGATCATGCTCTTCCCGCCCCAGCCGGAGTTCACAACCCTCATCCATGCCAACTTTCCAAATCCAATTGACATAGTGTCTTCTCACAAACACCTTGGCATTGTGATTGACTCTGCACTCTCTTGGGTACCTCACATCGAACATATCTGTAAAAAATCAAGTAAATCCTTAGGAATTCTCTCCCCCCACTGCTCCTACCTCCCACTTTCTTGCAAGCTTCTTTTTTATTTCGCCTACCTTCGCCCAATATTTCATTATGCAGATACGTCTTGGGTTGGGTTATCCTCTTCCGCTGCTGCAAAGCTTGAAATACATCACAAGAAAATCCTTAAAATTCTCCTCTGTCAACCCCGCATGCTCTCATCATCCGCCCTTTATAAAATCGCTCACACAACCCCGTTATCACATGGACGCAGTGCACACCTGGCTTCTCTTGTCCATTCTATTAAGCTTGAGTTGTGCCCACCTCATCTCATGTGTTTTAATTGGTTCTCTTCTCTAAGAACTAGAAACTCACTCTTACTCCCTAAGTGTAACTCATCCACTCTTTTGCGCTCCCCTCTCTTTATTGCTTATTCTGTTTGGCTCACTCTACCCAGAGAAGTTAAGGACCTGACCTCACTCCGCCTGTTTAAGATCCGTGCCGCCCCTTATTTACTACGACATGCATAGCTCATTATCCACATGTCCTTTGCGTCTCTGTGTTTTTCACTGTTTTTATTTGACATTATCTTTCTTTACGGAGTTGTTGTTGCTGTTCGTTTTGCTACTCTTTCTTTTTCCCTCCCCTTATTTCTATTTATCGCCGTGGTTGGCAATCACCCACTCTCGTAATATTTGCCGGTGTTTCCGCCGAGTCTTGAGATGTTGCAATAAATAATAAATAATAATAATAATGGCCCCTTAGTGCATACTATTTTTGAGTATTATTCACACATTCAAATTTTACCGTCTTTTTTTCACACCCCTACACTCCCCATCACCACCAGTCTGGTAAATTACAGTTGAGAGGCAGAACAGAACCCTCCTTGAACAGCGTTGTCGAAGATATACCAATTCCTAGTGTACTCGGCGCTCGACATAATACGTCACTCAGTCGCAAAGAAATATTATTCTTTGCCACTGAGTACTCATACTGAAAAGAGTAGTCGACACTGGCTTAAAAGTGTGTGCATGTTGCTGCAAAATATGCTTGCATTGTATACTGCCAGCGCTGGCTACAACCGAAGTTGTTTTGAATATTTAAACGTTCAATGCAGACCTAGTTCCTAGGTAGTTGAGTGTGGCAGTACGTTCAATCAAGAGTATATAATTATTATAAGCTCATGTTTACTCTTGCAGCTTGGTACAATAGAATTCTTCGATTGCATTGTCTAACACACCCTTATTTTAGGGCGTATTCCAGTGTACCAAGACACAGGAGTAAAATATGAGCTTATTTATTCTTGATTGTACGTGTAGCTTCGCTCAACTATAATGCTTAAGAATAAGATTACTAGTAGAAAGGAAAAGGACATATGGAAACGAGTTAAGAGTAACTCTCCACCACTGTAACTAGATACTATACAGTCAGAAAGTGCAACAACTAGGCACAAAACTGACAGAGTACTGAGACATTCGACGTCCTGACACCTAGCTTCAACACATCTCCGTAGCGCTAACCGACAGCCTTCCAGCCTTTCTACTTTTATTATTGGCTCAATGCCCGAGTTTCAAATAAGATTACTTTTAACTTTTAAAAAGTAATCCGAGGCCGAAATACGTCTTCTGAAAACCCACCAGTGTGGCACCTTGTTGCAACGCCAGGGATATCCAGAATGAGAAGATCAACATATTCCGGTATTCGGATATTACAGTTATTTGGGCATTTTGGAATGGAAGGTCATGGCAACATGAAATATCCCGAGAATGGCGTTCTTTCAGAAAACGACAGGTTGTTGCCATTTTTAATTGCTAACAACCTGTCGTTTTCTGAAAGAACGCAATTCTCGGGATATTTCATGTCGTTAAAATGGCTTCCAGTGTTCATGTATCTGTTATGTTGCTTCAAGTATTCATGCCAGCAGTACCCATGGTACCCTGAGGGCATGTCGGAGTAGATAATTGTATGAGCGGAAATACACTGCTTGAAAGCAGAGGCTTCTGTGTGAGGAGACGGAACCACTATTCTGATCGGGTGCTAGAATTTCGCAAAGTCTCCCCAGGTATGTTTTGTAACAAGATACCGTATTTCTCCGTAAGTAAGTTCTCCCCAATGACTTAGTACCCCCCTATAAAAAATACACTTTCCACTGCCGAGGTTATCACCCCGAAAGACAGTTCCCCCCGAAAGATAGTAAGTTTGTACCCGTCCTACATGTACAGACACCGTACAGTACATACATCATATGCACGGACACTACTTGAGCAGGCTTCCCACTGCGTGTCATTTACCCCCGATAAAAAAGTACTCCCCGGAAGATAGTACCACCCCCGAAAGTTAGGCTGTGTTTACATGAGGCGTTTCAACCCGGGTTGAGTTCGACCGGGTCAGATTTCAACCCGCCTTGTGCATAAAATGAATGGCGCGTTTACATGACGCATTGCGCTTGACCCGGGTTGAAATTTCGCCCCGGGTTGATTTCAACCCTCCCCCAAGGGGAGGGTTGAAATCAACCCGGGTCAAGAAAATCGTACAAACGTACTTCTGTGCGTATCTCGCGCCAGGTTTGAACGGCACTGCAGATGCAAATTTCGCGCGAACGGATTCACGTGACCAGACAGGACTGTAGAAGTGGACTTTTGGCGGCATATCAGTATTTGTCCCGGGTCAACTGTCTTCATGTAAACGCTTACTTCTTTTGTCTGTCGTACAGACTTTCAACCCGGGCTGAACTCGACCCGGGTTGAAATTTCTCATGTAAACACAGCCTCAGTACTCATGTGGCTGCTAAGTTCGAAAGTTAGTACGTACTAACTTACGGGGAAATACGGTAACTTACCCACAATCACGGTGCAAACGCCAGCAAGAAATTGCAAGGGGACAGAATAATAGTGATGGCAGCTGTGAAGCACGGGAGGCAGGGCAAGAGCAACTTAACCGCTGACCAGGGGTCTCGGAATCAACACTGCTCATGCGCTCCCAACAGAAAAAATACTAAAATGATAACTAGGGGCACAAGGGAGCAAATGAATGATAATGGCAGCAGAGTATTGAGTCTTTTTATGCTATTTACATAGCACTGTTTGCACCATCAAGAAAATGTCGAAATATTTGGTAGTTTGGCTCGTTAGCCACATTGTACAGAAAAACAATATGTGAAGAAATGATTGCCTCTTATCGAGAGATAAGGAGCAGCAGCGATCGCATGCAGTGTTCAAAAGTTCAGTTCCAAGCAGGCACACATATGTACAGGGCACCATACCGGCTGAGAGCTGCTCAGTGTTAGGCAGGCGTAAACGACACTGCGAGCCACACTCAGGCATGTGTAATAGAAATAGAAAGGTTTTTTTTGAAAAGCATGACGGCCTTGTAGGGTTGCCGGTTCATACTTTCATTTCACAACAGATGTCACAGTCGAGAGTCGTGTATATACCATACTTCACACAACTCTCTCTCTATGTGTCTCTCACACACACACACTCACTCGCACACCATCACACCCACACATACACCCACAACCCCCCCCCCCCCCACACCCACCCACACGCAAACACACTCACTCGTCCATCCACTCACTCACTGCCAGTTTCTGCTATTCTCTACACTCTTACAATAAGGATATCAACAGATTGCCTACGGCCGGGCATATCACCACTTTCCTCATCCACAGACACATCATTTGTGTTGCTCAACATGGAATAATTGGTGAGAGACGGAAGATTGTCGGACGGTGATGATAGGCTTGTTTCCTTCTCGGCCGGTTCCTTCTCCAAGCTTAGCGACGATGGCTCTGTAGCAGCGGGTTGAAGTTGGTATTCAGGTGGTGGCGGCGAGGCTCGGGGGCTTCCCGTTAGTGAGTTGCTGTTGGTGGCTGTTAGCAGACTGTGCCCGTTGATCATGACGTGACACGACTGTCCCAGGCTGGAGTTCCTCGCCGGCATGCTGCCGCTTTTTCGGCCACCGCTCGCTCCACGGCCGCCGTGAGTGCTAGCACCGTTGCTTGGCATCATGTCGCCTGAGCCCATGCTCGTGATGGTGTGGCGGCGCAGCGTCGAGATCAGTCGATACCCAATGGAGCCCCGTCGGCCGGCGGAGGCGAGGGCTCCGCTCCACTCCTTGCGTACCTCGGGCGCACGGGCCGTGTGCAGTATGAATATGAGGAACCCCTGAGCACATACATACATGTGCATACATTTGTATACAGAAGGGATGCAACATGAGCAAAACACGACATCATCCAACTACAGATTGTTGCAGAGGGCACAAATGATTAAAAAAAATCCCCGAAGCCATGCAAAAGACGATACGATTAGTCGCTAGCCAGGGTCCACAATGCTTTATTTTTCATGCTTTCTTCTCAGGTAGACTTTCTGGCTCGTTTCGCCTTCCTCATCCAGAAACAACAGGAGTTCATCAGCCATGGGCAAGATAAGAAGAAAACACTTGCTGAACTCTGATGGGCCGGGGGAGAGGTTGATCAAGCATTTCAGGTGTGAAATTCAGAGCCAGGATAGGTTATAAAAGTAAACATTCCAGGAAGGGATGGATGGTGGTCGTGGTTTGGGATGGCTAGAATTTTAGATTCTCTGCTTGGCGCTGGAGCCCTGTGTGGCTACCAAGAAATTACGGGATTTGTTCCCGCCTCTGCACTAGAAAAACGAGAGAGCTTTGAAGCTCAGGGCCCTAGGCTATGCTTTTTTGCCTAGCTCATCATGCATGTTATTAGAGCTGATGGAACTTTCTCTTTGGCCCCAACTTCGTTGCGGTCTTATAGTGTTTTACGTCGACCATGACAGCCACAATGCCCAACCATACCACAACGAACTGATCGGCTACATCATTGTATTGCAAAAAGTTTTCATCTGTTCGAATAACATGCATGAGCTAGGCAAAAAACCATAGCGTAGGGCCCTGAGCGAAAGAAATATACTTTCTCTTTGCATTGGAGGGTTATACGACACCGTCTACAACTTTGAGGACCCAGGCAAAAAAAGCATAGTGGTGTTATAAATGTTTATTTCGTTTTCAAGACATAACTTGGGGTTCAAACCCGCACTATCGCCCTGCATGCATTCCCCATACACACTTCGCATTCATACTCATTCTTCCAAGTTGCTTCACGTTATGATCTTGCATTTGAAAGCCCTATTTGAATATTGTGGCCATGCAGCTGTTTGTGGCCAGCTGTCTTTGATGGTATGGTACGGTACGGGACAGATACGGGATAGCGCCAGGCATGCCGACGGCACAAACAGACAAACAAACAAACACGGAATTAGAGCTGTGTGGACCCTGGCTAGCGCCAGACGTTACTGAAGTAACGTCTGTTGCATAGCAACGGGAATAAACATAAGCATACCTTACTCCACAAGATTTAGCGCTAAATTAGTTAATGCTTGTGGCCCTACTACTATGTGTTTATAAGCATACTGTTGGGTAGATCTGAGTATCAGTTGTCTGATGATTGCCTTTGCGGCATGAAACTCAGAGTTACAACCTACCTGAACGTCCTCCGCTGAGTCTGCTATATACAAACTTCATAATACATGACATCATGTGGCATCAGGATCTTGAACAGCATTTTGAAAATCAATTGGTTTCATGAGTAATTTTTCGAGACTTCTCTTCAAGTGATAAATAGGCAAAAGCACATGAGAGAAAGAACAATGAATTGTGATGAAGCAGCGCAGAGACGAATAGCTATTAAACAACCTCAAAATAATATAGAAATGCGCGACCCATGCACACAAAGATAATGTCAAACAGGTGCTAGCAAGCGTGAAATGTAGTTCAAGTAGTGCAATGACAGTAGACAATCACTGGACTTGCGTGTAACTAACAGTAACGTGATGCCAGTCTACCTAGCACACTTAGTGTGAATGTGTCTACCTAGCACACTTAGTGTGAATGTGTCTACCTAGCACACTTAGTGCGAATGTCACCTGCATCTGTATGCATAGATACAGTTACTTAATAGTGTATATATACATGTGTACGAATTCCAAAAACCTTCTACAACCTAGCACTGCTTAATTATACGAAACAAAATCGAGAACTAATCATCTGACTACACACGATATTCAGGATTCTCCGAACATTGTGTTTCAATATGCTTCTTTGACCCTTTTTTTCACCTCTTTTCCGTACATAATAATTATTGTTCTTGTACCCGATTTCTCTCGCCTGTATATCACCCGAAGAGAAGGAACGAAAGTCTACTCGTGAGGTCCTCTGCACAATGATGTCGATGAGGCTGAAGTTTGTGCCATTGCTGCGTCATAATGACAGTCACAGTTTTGTCTCCGACTGACCGTTTTACATGTACTTCCTCCGTATACAAAAACTTCGTGACTTTTTTTGAACGGTGTTTGTGAGCAAGAACCTGCTGTAACGAACGGCGCCAAAGGCTGTCATCGACAACCCACATCCATGTCGAGGTTTGTTTGGTTGATCCCGAACAGATTCTCCACGGACGCCATGCGGGCGAGGACGTTGCCGATAGAAACTCAAGAAACACTTACTTGCTCGAAACTGACACAGTGACGAAGTGTAGCTCGTGGCTGGAACACGGAGTCACGCGGCACTCGCTGCCCTGAAACTGGCCAGGCTCGTACTTGCGGTGCGCGGCCCCATGGCCATAGATCTGCGCCGCGTGAGAACATAGATTTGTTTCACTTGCACGGCAAGATGAAACATTTCAGTCGTCGTGCAACCGGCGCAGACTCAGGATCAGAATGTCGATGGCCTGGCTTTCTTCGCCTCTCTCCAGTCAGACGTCTCCTTTGTCGTCAAGGGGAATCGCAGGGACCTCCTCGAAGCCATTGTAGAATACTTGGGAGGATTATCCTGGCGAGAAAATGCGAAGCATGTGGATGTGCTTGTACGACTCGTTTCACGGCATAATGGCGGTCGCAGGTTGGAACGACTGAATATAGTCGACACCGATTCGTACACAGCTCTAGAGATGAAGAGGACGTAGCCAAAGTCCAGCGTCGGACCATCACTGCAGGTGACAAGAATCTGAAAGAAATGCGAGCGGAAGCAGCGGCTGTTGGCGATGCAGAGTCAGCGTCGTCAGGTGACAATGACATGAGCGATGAAGACTCTGAAAAAACTCAATCTCATTCGTCTGAGTTGCTTTTTTCTTTGTATATAGCTTGTAAACAGGTTAAACAATGCCATGAGTGTTATTCCAAGTCAAACGGAACCATTCCAGAGCTGTGCGCAGCTTTCAAAAAAAGTCAGTTTTTGTATACGGAGGAAGTAAGAACACAATTGTTACAGTACTGTGAAAGCAAGGGCACAACCAAGCCCTTCCCTTCCGTCACTCAGAGTTTCGTGTAAAGAAACACTCCTCATACAGCATACAGCATACAGCATACAGCATGATACGACAATTCATTAGATTAGATACGGGAGGGAGTCTTGAGAAAGAGGGCACGGCTGATGGAGGTACAGCATTTCCATGATGCGAGGAAAAGGAGGTGAAAAGGAGGTGGCAACAAATGAGGTTAACTATGAAAAAAAAATGATTCGTATCGACAACGTTTAAATGTATTTTAGTGTAAGTGTTTATTGTCTTATTTTTGTTTGTCCCGTGCATGCAGCAACGCTATCAGCTCAGCCCATATTGACGTGCCATACATTAGAGTTGCAAAAAGCCTAGATATCGCCGACCAAGTAGCCAGTATGTTCGGCAGCGGGGATGAAAGTAGCCTTGACGTTGATTATTTTATGTTCGACTACAAAATAAAATCGATTGTGCAGTTATTAAGCCTGGCTTTGAAACCACTCGCCATTGTCGGTCCCAACCCCAGCTGTGAACATTGTGATTTACTTTGCCCACTTGTTAAGAACACTACCCTGTATTATGATGGTGCTTCTTTGAACTCACCGACTGTATCCCCCATTATGATAGTGGAAAGTTGCACGCCTGTCAACCCACTGGAACAAATTGGCAGCAGAATGTACTGAATAGGAGATATAACGAATTTATTGCTCGAGAGATGTGGCTCGCTTGAACATTTCCAAGGGGCCATAATCAACCGTTTGGAAGAAGATATGGCAAAGCTCGACGAATGCTTGCCCTACGTGAACCGGTCCTGGAGGCTTGTAGAGCTTGCAAAAGGTCTTCTCAGTTTGGCCAAGAGCGACGCTAGGCTATGTTTGTTCATACCTGGGACTAGATGGTCCAGATCTCGGTGCGTACCTTTCCTCTGTATGGACTAATAATCCTTATATATGTTGGCCTCTTCTGGATGATGTGGATAACGTCACCGATCCTTTCGATCCGGTGCTTCTTACCAATGGATGGGCCAAGAAGGTTGCTGAACTCACAACCAATCATTCCGTTGTCGGCCTGCTGATAATGGGAAGGCTACGTACATCTCGGGTGGACGATTACTTCACAGCTATCATAGAGCACGAAGACGTAGTAAGGCATTTGTCGCAGTCCACACACGCCGCAATCGTCACGATCTATACCTTGGTTTGGGAAGTTCTCCTATCGTTATCACAAGGACAGCAATATCGAAAGGAGTGGACGAAAGTGGAATTGGTGGACGCTATGGAGCGATATGGCAATGAACTTACTGTCAGGGAACTACTGTAATTGGCAGTGGAAATACGCAGAGCTGAGCTATCACGTGATCAGCTGACCTATCACATGATCAGCTGACCTATCACGTGATGAGCTGAGCTATCACGTGATCAGATGAGCTGAGCTATCACGTGACCAGCTGAGCTGAGCTATCACGTGACCAGCTGAGCTGAGCTATCACGTGACCAGCTGAGCTGAGCTATCACGTGACCAGCTGAGCTGAGCTATCACGTGACCAGTGAGTTAGATTACTGCAGATTGTTCCAGGATTGATACTTGTTACATGTGCCTTATTTGGACATGATTGAAATCGGGTTCAGAACTCAAGAACAGTATGCTGTGTCCATGCTCCCACTTTATACGTGTGCCTACTAAACACATTAAAAAGTTTTAGCACGTGTATCAAGTATTTACCCACTGATCAGCTAAAAACTTGTCATAAACACGATATTGATTTAGATTGCATTAGCCATTAACCCTTTAGGTGCGCATGACGTGTTAAAACGCACTGCACCGTGATCTACGAGACCTGGCATTCTTGTGTCACGAGGCACGTGATTTCATCATTCCTCTTGCAGTAAATCCAAACTCAGTCACTTTTGCAACTGTTGCACCAAAAAATGTTGGTGGCGCAAGGAGAAGCTTGTCGTTTCGAGTGACAAGTGATCACCGCTGCTTTTCCTCGTCAGAGTCAACATTACACTTTGTTCTGCAGCGTTGGGAGTGGTGTTGGAGTAGAATTTGTTGACTAGACGTCGCGGAGGGGCGAGCTTTCCTGCGCAGTTATGAGTTTGGATGTATTTCAGAATGGTCGAGTGGAAAAATTCAAAATGTTTATTTCAAGAAAACCCAAAAAGGATGATGGGGGACATGTCCTCAGTGCTAGAAGAGGTGTTCTACTATCTGCCGGTGTATAGTGTTTGCTAATTGAGGACATAGCTCGCTGTTTTATCAGCGCTTGTAATTTGGCTATTTTCAAGACGATCATTTGTGGCATCAAGGGACGATTGCCCTTGTCTTCTGGGATGCTGGCGTGGCTAAGTGGTGCTGCCCCAAGAACTCTTCTAAGGTGAAGTAATGTTGGCTTGATGGAATTTTGTTCGTAGCTTGTTCTTGTACGCTGTGCCGTGGCTTGTTTGTTGACCTATAAATCGTGCCAATATTGGGCCAATATTGAAGGGTATGCCAATTTCATGGTTCCCTTCAAAAGATTTTGTGCGGGCTTTGGAATGTCGATCTACACCCCAAAGCAAACCTACCTGCAAAATTTGAGCGAAATCTGAGAGACCAACTTGCACATATGTTCTGGTTTTCTCAGACATGCTCTCTTAAGACATAACCTAGGATTCGAACCCGCACTATCGCCCTTCATGCATCCCCCCGATATTCTTTGCATACATACTCATTTTTCCAAGTTGCTTCACATTATGATCTTGCATTTGAAAGCCCTATTTGAATATTGTTGCCATGGCCAGCTGTCTTTGATGGTACGGTACGGGACAGGTACGGGATAGCGCCAGGCATGCCGATGGCACAAACAAACAAACACACACGGAATTAAAGCTGTGTGGACCCTGGCTAGCGCCAGACATTACTGAAGTGAAGTAACGTCTTTTGCATAGCTACGGGAACAAAGATGAGTGTGATGGCAGTGTCGTTAAACTTTGTGCCTGCCAAGTGGGAAAGTGTGCAAATCGTGCCAAACTTTCGACTCATCGAACTTTTACAACTCCTACAGTACACAAAGACAGTTTGGGGAATGCCATCACAATGAACAACACGGGGCAGCTCTACTAGTAGAAGACAGTTTAGGGAATGCCATCACAATGAACAACACTGGAAAGCAACACTGCTTAGTGACATACCTACAGTGCACAAAGACAGTTTGGGGAATGCCATCACAAGGAACAACACTGGGAAGCAACACTGCTTAGTGACATACCTACAGTGCAGAAAGACAGTTTGGGGAATGCCATCACAATGAACAACACTAGGTAGCAACACTGCTCAGTGACATACCTGGAATGTGTTGAGAATGGCGAAGGCGTATTGCATGGCGATATGATCGACAAGAACCACCAGTATGCCAAACACCCAGGTTAGTCCCAGTAGTAACGAGAGCGTCACTACAACACGCACAAGGTACAGCGCTCCCTTGTTGTCTTTCTTGCCCTTGCGCTTCATCGACGCATTGTTCTTGCCACGTTTGTGCAGCGATCGTATGATAATGGTGAGTATAGCAATGTTGTAGAGCAATGTCAGTGCCATTGGTGCGATGAACGCTCCGTAGAAGACATTGAAGTCACTTATCCAGCAACTGTGGATGGAGATATGGAGTAACACGTGTGTGTGTGTGTGTGTGTGTGTGTGTGTGTGTGTGTGTGTTTGTGTGTGCACACACATGTGTGGACATGCACACACATATATGCATGCACCCACACACACACACCAGACACGCACTCACGTGTGCGCGTGCGAACATACATACACACACACACACACACACACAAATACACACACACACACACACACACACACACACATGCACGTGTACACACACATGTACAGGCACACAAACACGCACACACACATCCACATACCACCGTGGTGAAGAAAGCCACAACTCGTGTAGATACATGAAAGTATGAATGGTGCGCACATACTATAAGAGAGCATACCTCGGCAATTGTTAACATTGCATACATCACAGGTTAAAGACAGCAGGGACATACCTGTACCTCCATGCAAGGACAGCACTTGTCCAAAACAAAGTAAGAAACCAACAGGATGTAGAGATGAGTACATGATGGCCAGGAGGTGTGTATGACCCATTATGCTAGAACACGTACAGCCTGAGTGGAACATTTCGTACTGTAGAACGGGTAATTTTAGCGACGTAAAAACCCTAGCGAATTTAGCGATCGACTCATTTTCGCTTAAGTTTCAAGTCGCTAATCCGTTGAGACATTTGTACGAGTACGTAGTGCACTGATGATCCGTGAGTAAAATCAGTGCAAATCGCTAAAATAAAACGTCGCTAACCGGTTGACAATGGGAAAACGCTAAAATTAATAGTCGCTAAAATTAATAGTCGCTAAACTGATTACCTGTTCTACTGTACTAGTTTTGCAGTAGTCGCATTTCAATTGTTACCTTATGTCAGCGTTAAAGCCATGGCCTTATATCCGAAACACCGCTGCTTTCCTAGCTATTTTAGATGAAAAATGACTCGCCCACTACGCCATGCCATAAAAAAAGTCAAAGTCCACACAGAAATTTCAATCTAAATCCACTTGTTCACCCTTCCTGTTGGGCGGTATAATATTTATTCCTTCATTTTACAAAACAGACTTCAAATGTCGTTTCATTTATGAAGCCCACGGCAATATAACTGAGACTGGCTTTATATTCGAATATACCTCAATGGCTTGAAAGGTACGGATATGCAGTATATCATGCATGCTGCCTTAGTCTGAATCCCTGACACAAGACAACGGTGTGTACACTAGTATATCAAACTTGTACTTACTAGTTCTCATTGGTGTAGGCGTCAAGTTTAGTCACTCCAGCCGTTATGCCCACTATGACCAGCGGTGCACCTGTTACCATGACAACACCACAGTACACCACACAACACACTAGGACTATTGAGTACTGTCATAAAAGAACGGTACATGTGTAGGATTCAAACCTGGAGAGTGTTGGCCATACGTGTACGGGTGCACTATACGAGTGATGTACATACATGTACGAGTGCACTATGCGAGTGTGTGCACCATGTGAGTGCTGGACCTACGTTCCATGTACTGTAGTGGACATGTAAATCCAGTCGATTAACCGGGGCCGGCACCCTCAGCGCGTACAGAACACTGCGTGCAGTGCACATAACAATCATGCTGATCCGATGCGACCAGCGCGCTGCAGCGCATGAATGCGTATGTGTGCCGCTTATCCACGGCTGCATGGCCGGCGCCCCTGGGGCCGATGGACTTGCGACCGGAGTTCCATGTCCACAGCCTTACATGTGTACTGTGCGCGTGCTGGACATACGAGTGCACACTCTAGCAATGCATAGACTCGCCATACACTCGAGCAATGCATGGACTGAGTATTGGACTCACCACATACGGTAGCCAGCACAGCTTTAGCAAACCAGGCCGGAGTGCCACCAAACACTTTCACCAGTTGTGTGTAGAGAAGCGTGGCCTCGGCCGACATCCACAGGAACGCCGACAGGAGAAGGTAGTGCATGATGATGGCCACAGACTGGCATGCAGCCCTGTTCGACGTAGCACGTATGCCAGCGATGAAGAGGATCATGATGGTGAGGAGTGTTGTACACAGACCAAACATCAAGCGTTGATGCAGACTGGCGCGTAGTTTCCTGTGCAGAAGCCAGCACAGAATAGGCACATGTACCGTATTTTTCCGGTTGTAAGTCGACCTTTTACGACTTAAAATAGAAGGAGAAAGGGTGGGGGTCGACTTACAACCGGGATTCGACTTATAACCGGGAACTATCAGTATCTTACAAAAAAATGACCTGCACTGCATGCACGAGTGCACCATGTTTACACATTTTGCCAGTTTATTGGCCTTTTTCAAGGATTGGGACGTTATGTCCTCCAATAAGGAATGTTTACATGATTTGTTGATGTGTTAGTAGCAGGAGGTGGTTAGTAGTGCTTCTTTGGGTGAAAACTTTGAAACGCAGAATTGAGACCTCCAGATAGGGGGGTCGACTTATAACCGGGGTCGACTTACAACCGGTAAAATACGGTATGTTTATGTGTTAAGAGAGACACAAACATAAACAAAAACAAATTTCAAATTTGGACTTCACGGAGAATATCAAAGTATTAGGAAACCAGAGGCCACATGCCTCGTACTGCTCTTTTCTCTCCGAAACTCAACACTTGCAAGCCAGATATGAAAGAAGGAAAAAATCATCAGTCACACCACCGGGACTCGAACCAGGGACTTTGCTATTCGCGAGCAATGCTCTAACCAAATGAGCTACAGTATGACTCTTATCCAAAGTGATGGCAAATCTATCCTTCTTCGATCAATCAATCAATATCTGGCTTGCATCATACTGGCAGCTCACACCATCACTGAGGATAAGAGTCATACTGCAGTTCAGTTGGTTAGAGCATTGCTCGCGAATAGCAAGGTCCCTGGTTCGAGTCCCGGTGGTGTGACTGATGAGTTTTCTTTCTTTCGTATCTGGCTTGCAAGTGTTGAGATTCGGAAAGAAAAGAGCTGTGCGAGGCATGTGGCCTCTAATTTCCTAATATGCAAACAAACACCAAAAAACTAACACGAGAACACACACATGTATGTACATAATACATTTGAAGGCTTTTCTCAGCGCTGTCTGTCTGTCTGTCTGTCTGACTCGCTGGCTGACGAACTGTCTGACTGGCTGACTCTTTGTCTGTCTGTCAGTCTCTATCTATTCATTGCTGATTGCAGGTACATGCAGCAAGAAAGCACAATACACATACATATGGAAAGCAATTCAACACTGCCACAACAATGCCAGTTGCAGCACTAGTAATACCAGTATGTCATTGAGCATGCTCAAAACTCACTTGAAGGTTGCAATAGTGATCATGGTGGCAACCAGCCCTAGCATGGACAATCCACAGCCGATGTAGGAGATAATCACCAGGACTTTCTCAGCTACAGTTTCTGCATGGGATGACTTAATAGCTTTCCGTGACTGCAAACATCAACAGCAGCAACAGCGGCAGCAGCAGCAGCAACAGCGGCAGCAGCAACAGCGGCAGCAGCAACAGAGGCAACAGCAGCAGCAACAGTGGCAGCAGCGGTTAATAACGCAGAGATACGAGGGTGTAGCACGGTTTGCCATTGGGTGTTTCTGGTGAAATGAAGAACTGCTGCCAGCATTGTTGCTTGGTCAGTCCCTACAGTACATCCCACTAGGATCACATGTCCCTATAGTACATAGCACTAGGATCACATGTCCCTATAGTACATAGCACTAGGATCACATGACCCTTTGGTACATACCACTAGGATCACATGACCCTACTCTACATAGCACTAGGATCACATGTCCCTATAGTACATAGCACTAGGATCACATGTCCCTATAGTACATCCCACTAGGATCACATGTCCCTATAGTACATGGCACTAGGATCGCATGTCCTTATAGTACATAGCACTAGGATCACATGACCCTATAGTACATATCACTAGGATCACATGACCCTATAGTACATAGCACTAGGATCACATGACCCTATAGTACATGGCACTAGGATCGCATGTCCCTATAGTCATACCACTAGGATGACATGACCCTACTGTACATAGCACTAGGATCACATGACCCTATAGTACATGGCACTAGGATCGCATGTCCCTATAGTCATACCACTAGGATGACCCTACTGTACATAGCACTAGGATCACATGTCCCTATAGTACATACCACTAGGATGACATGACCCTACTGTACATAGCACTAGGATCACATGTCCCTATAACGTTAGTACATACCACTAGGATGACATGACCCTACTGTACATAGCACTAGGATCACATGTCCCTATAGTACATACCACTAGGATGACATGACCCTACTGTACATAGCACTAGGATCACATGTCCCTATAGTACATAGCGCTCACTCACTATACTGTCGGACATGGTATTATGACAAGTCGCACATTTAACGATTGTCCAAAGTCCATAGGTTAACGAGAAGATACGTTAAAGATCTTGCAGTCTTCAGGCATATCCGCACGTCAGATGTGAGGCATTGCAACCTAAACATAACTTATTATAATGAAGAAATGTCACCCGTTGAAACGTTAGATTTGCTTCCTCGTTATATTTACATGTCTTACACTAGGACATAACACTAGTCACTATTGCCGTACTTACAACTAGGACGGCAAAGTTGGTTAGGTGATTACACTCGCATGCGGCACGACTGCTGCCGTTGCTGATCAGACGACACCCCTCACGACTCCAACCACCCTGGTTGTCATCTGAAACAAATCAGGTCAAAATGTAAGAAACCATTACACACACACATGTCATGAGAAATCACAAGGTTTGTATGTGGAGGGGGGGGGGGGGGCTAAAGAGGTTTGGATCGTAGACGTGTGCACAGGGCAGCAAATAGCGTGTTAGCTTCTCAATTTTAACTCTAGACTATTACTAGGCCATTCTTACTCAATGTGAAGTCCCAGAAAACGCACTCCAGCTGCAGTGTCTCGTTCTGCGTCTGTGAAGGCAATCACGCGTGCACACACCACATACACACCATGCACACATGCATGCACGCGCACACATCACACACATACATGCATGCATACAGTAAAACCTGTAAAGGCGACCACTCGGATAAGGCGACCACCTGTCCTAGAAGACCCCTGAAACCAGGACTAAGGGATGCTATTTCCAGTCAAACGACTCTGGATAAGGAGACCGTCCTTTTGAAGGTCCCTTGAGCGGTCATCTTAGACAGGTTTTCACTGTAAACACAAAATGCACAACGGAGGTTTACAGAGTTTGTGGCAACTCTGAGCTTCTTGCACAAAGCAGTCGCCAGGCAACTTACACGTATACACACAGACAGACACATACACATACACAGACACACAGACACATGTATGCACACAGACACACACATGCACTATCCGTATTACTCTCCTTTGCCCAGTCTTGTTTGAGAACCCCTTCTCGTTTGCGTCAATGTTATCTACCTTCGTGAAAAACTATGTTGCAAAATACTTGTGTGTGTATGCGTGTGTGTGTGGGGGGGGGGGGGGGGGGATGAGGTCCGATTGAACTTCTTCTGTCATGCATGTACCCGGCTGCTCCTCTCTCTTCACTTCATGTAAGGTGTCACAACCCTCTGCAAAGAAAGACAGATACAGGTACAGAGAAGGGAACTAAAGCTTGATTGCCGTCGTTCAGAGTTTCAAGCGTTAGCAGTCATCACATACATTGGCTGCTGCCTGTGATGATCTCCAACACGTAAAACTCTGCACGACAGCAATAACGCCTTTAGATCCTTTCGTTGCACCTGTACTAAAAGGCTCTGCGTCTAGGTGCATCAAGGATGCTCTTGAGCTGCCGTAGCTCACTCTGACTAGAGATGTACATAGATACATGCAAAGATCGAGATATCAAGACATCGCGAGAGAAGCTGAAGGAGAGAGAAAGAGAAAGAGACAGAAAGAGAGAGAGAAAGAGCGAGAGAGAGACAGAGACAGAGACAGAGAGAGAGACAGAGACAGAGAGAGACAAGCAGAGAGACACAGGCAGAGACAGGCCCGTCGCACCGACTTTGGAGGTGGGGCGGCCATGTAAGGGGGTCCGGGGTCCTCCCGCGGGGAAAAAATTTCAAAAATTGAAGCCAATTGCAAGCATTTCCGGGTATTTGGTGCCATTTCAGTGTACGGTAACTACAAAGAAAGTCTTTTTGATTCTGCAACAAACGAAGAAGACGCTACGACAAACATTACCCTCCCCCGGGAAAAAAATTCAAAAATTGAAGCCAATTGCAAGCATTTCCAGGCATTTGGTGCCATTTCAGTGTAACTGCAATGAAAGACATTTTTCTGCAATAAACCACGATCGGGGACAAGGATTTGTCACGCTTGCGCTAAGCTGCGATCATTGTGCTTTGTTGTAATGTGCTCCAAAAAAAAAAAGGTCGAAAAAGTGGGCCCCGGCTGTGACGGCCTTGCAGAGAGACAGAGAGACAGAGGGAGAGACAGTGGCATAACGACAGGGCTAGCTAACAGTTAGAACATGAGCCACAACATTGATTCGGGACACAACTGTCGACTTAAACTCACTGAGATATCTGGCAGGTTGAGGTTGAACGACATGACGGCACTCGCACCATCGAGTGGAATACGCTCCTCTTGTCTACCAACCTGAGCAGAGACAATCTGCGACGCTACGGTTGTTCTGGCTCCAGCAGATGTGCCTGTCAGGTTGATGTCCTGAAAGAGAGAGTCGGTGCGATACAAAATGAACTGGGTCTGTGCAACTGGGCAAGATGGCACGCTGGAGGAAGTACTGTTAGCGTCCGACTGTGCCATTGTGTCTCTGCTGGTCGTAGCAAACTCTATGGCGTTGGACGGTACATCAAAGGCAGCTGGATCACTGCTCACTGTGAAGTGAAACACAAACATATGGAATTGAAGGTAAAGTGAAGAAGAGACGAGTTCCTACTGGACTCGTCTGTGTGTGTGTGGGGGGGGGGGGGGGGGATTTGCAAGCATGAGTACCGTAATATCCCGCGGATAAGCCCACCCACGCATAAGCCCATGCCCGCGCATAAGCCCACCCACGCATAATCCCATGCTCGCGCATAAGCCCAAGCCAAGTTCGAACCTGGCGAAGCTTGGTTGTACAAGCCCATGGACCTAGGTCGTACCTTGTATGTAGTACATGTACTTCATTTTTACCCAATGCTTTTATTTTTACTCATTTATTTATCTATTTTTGTACATTTCAACACAATCATCGATGGTTTTATTTGCACAGTGACTTTCAGCAATGTACTTCACACTTCCTTGGTACTCGTATTTTCAATAGCACAATTTTGCTGTCGGCGTATAAGCCCCATGTTTTATATGTCCACCGAAATTTCCTTGTGAAACAGATAAGCCCATGGGGTTATCCGTGGGATTCGACGGTGCAGTAAACTGAAAGAAGCACACAGGCACCCACACCAGCAGACAAAACACAGACACAAAGGCAGAGATACAAAGATGGATACACCGACTGACACACATACAGACACACAGACAGATATACACGGACACATGCCCAATCAAGCACCTGCTGCTGATGTAGTGACATCACCGACTGAGAAAGCATCATCACCAGTACCAGCTGCAGCACGGAATGCCTGTGAAATGACTCGCCCGGAGCAGCTAATGGCAAACCCAATGTTCTCATTAACACTTGTCAGTGGCTGTCCCTCCTCGACTTCCAGCGACGTTACGAGTCTCTCCATTGTACGAGCAATGCTGTACACACATAGTAATATAAACAAGTCACTGTGGATTAATGTGGTACCAGGAGATGGGGACAGGGGATGGGGCAGGGGTGGAGGCAGGGGATGGGGGTAGGGCATGGAGGCAGGGTATGCTGACAGGGTATGGATGCAGGGTATCCCGAGAGGCAGGATATGGAAGCAGGGGATGGGGCAGGGTGGGGATAGGGGTTAGGGCAAGGGAGGGGTTCTATTCGACCAATACTAACGTTGCAGCGGGTGCGGACTCAATCTCCGTTGGTGGTGCAGCAAGAATGTTGTCCACCGAGTCCAGAACGGAACCAGCAATCTGTGGACAAATACACAGACAGCCGGACACACAGACGAAGACAGATGAGCATGCACACATGCACATGCATGCGCACAAGGACAGACACCCACATACACACACACACACACACACACACACACACACACAGATGCGGATTCATGTTCATTTTCAAAGATACTCCTGGCTTTGACGCATTAACCACTTCATCTCTATCCATAAGGACATAACTCAACCACACTCGCATCCAAATCCTCCAAACGTCCATGCACATCAGCCTTACTGGTTTACTTCATCCCTCTTGGACCAGATCCCAACAAACTTGCATCACTGACAAATCAGTCATAATCACAAGGTACTAATCACAAGGTACTAATCACAAGTATTACAAACATCATGTCCGAAACAGTAAATGTTTTATTCACAGGTTTGACTGGAGGTTTGAGTAAATGTTTTCTTTAGACTTTTCCTTCTTTCTTCCCTCAGTTACATGAATAGTTCTTTTAAAAGTTTTAAAACTCATTCATTAGTTTGAGAGAAAAGTCGGAAGAAAAATTGACTGTCCCCACCAGGACTCGAACCAGGGACCCTCGCTTACGGCCAGCAATGCTCTACCACTAAGGTACATGTATGGTGCAGTTGTCATCCAAGTTTTCAATGAGTCCCTCAAACTTTTAAATACCGTACTGGCAATATATGTTGCCGCGTAACGCGTAACGCAGGGGGTGCGGCGTAACGCGCGACCAGGCTAGTGCGACAAATTTTCGTTGCGTTCGTAACGCGCGTCCGGCGGGGTGCGGCGATCTTTTCATTGCAAAAAAGGCTGAAAACTGTGAAAGCACGTGTACCGCGTGGTGAAAAGTTCAAGACTGGACGCAGCAGGAAGTCCTGCAATAGCAAAAAAAGGACTGCGGCAATATAGAAACCTGTGTAACGGCTCCTGTGCGACTTTGCATGTAACGCCCTGGGTGCGGTAAACATGTGCCAATGTAACGCTTCATGGCCTCACTGCGACCATATATATTGCCAGTACGGTAGTCAAAAATATAATCTTGCTGGTGTATCCTCACCTCTCGTCCGATCGTCTGATTGAAATCTTCATCACTGCTAGTGGCCAGAATTAGATTGGACAATGCGGTGGCCGCAAAGTCGATATCGGCTTCGGACAGCGACGAGGCGTCCTTCGTCAGGTTGCCAATGGTTTCTGTTGTCATGACGAGGACCGTTGGCTCACTGGTGTTGAATACAATCTGCAGACACCGAGGAAGACGAGAAGATGCATGAGTGAGCGCGTGCATTCTCCTTGGCAATGCGGACAATGCTCCAAACAGCCCATACAGAACTAAATCTGAATCCATTGCAACATAAAACTCTATCTAAGCTAACTTAAAGACTATGAAATGCACAACAAAATCTACAGCTCAGGGATTTCAACCAGGGACCTAAACCCAAACTATGAGTGGTGAGGCTTTCTGATGATATCAAAATGGCATGATGATGTCAT